TGATCTACACTGGATTCCTGTGCAATTTCGAATACAACACACAAAGTTCTAACTTTTACCTACAAAGCCCTGAATGGTCTAGATGTTTCTAGGTGTTTCTATTTTATGACAGTTTTAATCTGTGTTTAATGTGTCTGTATGTGAATTTGAATGACTTTTTAGGTTTAACTCTGTGCAGTGCTTTGGTCAGCTGACATGCTGTTTTTAAATGCGCTATATAAATAAAATTGGATTGGATTGGCCTGTAGTGTTTATTCTCTTACAGTAACAATTTATCAATTTTTTTGAGGAATTTGTTTGAGATTTTCTTGTTTTTATTAATTGTGCAATAGAAAAAAAAATCGTTGGATCAATCGTCTAAATAGTCATTAGAATAGTCGACAATTCGATAATCGTCAGAATAATCATTTTAAAAGTAATCGTTTACCCCCAGCCCTAGTATATATGAAACTGTATCGCTGCAGTACTTTTCTTTTGAAATTTACCAGTGATTTTACACTGAAACAGTGTGTAATTTCCTGTCTAGCCCTATGTTAACTGCGGAAATTGATGCATCCCAGAAGTGGCACGCGGCAAAAATAAAAACCGATCCTATCTTTAGAGGCGTGGCGTGCCGCTTCTGGGACGCGCCTGTAATTTGCCACTTCACTGCTGGTTTGAAACACTCCATAGACTATAATGGATTCTGTTTGAAGCAGTGACGTTCCGCTGCTGTTCCGCACTACCTAGGGCTGGGCAATAAATCAAAAATGTATCGTTATCGAAATTTCTGACTCTGATCATTTTTCCCATGTCAATAAATTTGATAATTAAAAAAATTAAATCGTGTGTAGCTTGGCAATGTTCGTGTCCCTTTAAGAAGCTGTACCACCTTGAGTCACGTAAAAATGTGACTCAAGGAGATACACGTGACAGTAGGGGTGGGCAATATAAACGATATGAGGTAGAAACGATATAAAATTGGGTAATGATAGAGTTTTTGGCTATATCGCAATACTGCAATATCGCGATAACACATGACATCACAAAGATGTGCACCCTGCTGGCATTGGGGCAACAGAATGGCAGTGATTGCAAGCATGGAGTGGGCGGAGGAGGAGGTCTATATGCCTCAAGTGTCATATATTTGCCACATGAGGATATTTAAAAGCATGTCATTTTGACATATATAAACAGAAGACAAAATATGTCACAATATATATTGTTACCTCACATGCTTCAGATTATATCTTAATATAGATTTGAGGCCATGTCGCCCAGCCCTACGTGACAGCGCCATCTAGTGGACAACCTTTGTTTCTGCACATACCTGTAGTTATCGTCCACATATCCTTATCAAGTTGAAATCCTCAATATATCATGATATTGATTTTAGGCCATATCGCCCAGCCCTAGCGCTGCCGATGCTTTCAGTGTGAAACTGGGGTAAAAGGCACAGCCTTTTCTGTTAGCTCTGGATGGTGCCAAAGGAGGTGGCTGTGCATGTTCATAGCTTTCCAATGTGAGGCAGTTATTGCATGCCATATAGTCTTCATCCTAGTGATGTGTCGCTGGAGACCGCAGTTTCAGGCCGACTGCTGATGCAAGCTTGTATTGTTTTTGAGACTGCGCCCTCTAAAGGATGAGTGTTTAAGTGCAACTGTAGATTAAAAGCATGCCTTTAAATCACATTACATGTGTACATTTTTATTAGAAGCTAGAAATGTCAGAATTTTATTAAATCAACATAAAATTATTAAACTGCTGGTGAAGCATTACATCAAAGTATTAAACAATCGACCAGTCTTGTTCCGTCTAACTGAAATATCTTTGTGTGTTACTTTACATACACACAACACAGTGGTGGTACATGGCTCCTCAATCCAATATAGGACAGAAATATCAGCATGTTGTTCATTTCTGCAGCCATCAGGGTTTTAAATCTGCAAGTGCTGGAGGACATACCAGACATTCATTTTCCATTGAGATCAATGAAGTTTAACTTAATTAATCTTTTGAGACAAAATATAAATCAAAATAGCAAACTGTGGACTCCTGAAATGATCAGTACACTTTATACATGTTAATTTTATACACTTTATTTATTTGAACCAGCAGATGTTCTACTGTTTACTGTTTGGATGGTCCTGGTAGGCCGTGGTGTGGGGGGTAGTCTACAGAGAAAAGATAGATGTTGAGCACAAAGTTGAAAACACCTTGCTTTAATATGTGTAGGTATCACTGTGTGAACTGTAATGTTCTGCAGCAAACACAATTTAGTTTATCTTCACATTAATAACATTACTAATTTAACAGAGCTTTCTTTCACCTTCACCTTTGTGAAATAAAAACAACTTTAGCCTAAAGTAATGAGTTTATTTCTTTCAGAAAATAAGAACAAGTTCATACTTTTATTAAAAAGTTGACCTATAATCTTTTCTTTCACATCACCCACAATGATTTTAATACTTTGTTTAATTTGTCAAAGTGTGAATGATAAAATCTAACCAAAAGGTGCAGTTCAGACCAGTCATTTCAACTAAACTAAGTTAGCTCCTAGGTTAGCCTACATGTGGTGATAAACGCATCAACTCGCTTTAAACTAAACACAAGAAAACGTTCACGTAGTTAAATTTAACTCACAATTAAATTTAGTTTTGAAAGTTTCGTAGAAAAGATACTTTGATACCATTAAACAAATGTGCTTCACATTCCTTATCTACTCTCTGATCGTCCTCCATATTGGAACGCTATCAAACAGTGGGTGGCGCTGTCTCAAGAACAATACAAGCCTGAATCAGCAGTCGGCCTGAAAATGAGGTCTCTGGGTCTGCAGCGATACCCTTCTCCTTCATCCAACTATGTTCCATCCACACTACTATAGTGTACCAAATGGCTAAGTATTTCACCTAAATGACCAGAAGTTAACTGTTATTTTACAGGCCAAACTTCTTCATACAGGTTAATCTGACACCATGGTGCTGATATGACATGAACATGAGCCAATATTCTTAACTTATCCTGCAGTGAGTCCTCACAGCTGCAAGAGACGCAGGACCTCCTATCTATCCTCTTTGAATAAAGCTCGTCTTCCCTGGCTCATTAATGACTTTATAATTTAATAAGTGTTAAATAATCATATTTTGTTGAATGAACGATATGTTTAAATCCGAAGTGTTTTAATAATGTGTCCAATTCTTAATTTACAGACTTTTGCTTATCATGACCCATCTATGGTCTTCTTCTCTGGGATTGATAGCAGATTACAAGAAAATGATAGCCTGGCCTGCCAGACTTGTCCACTGTTTAATTCTACACAGAGAACTAGTGTGGTGACTCACAGGTAGAGAGGCACATGAGGGGCAGGACTAGCCAGCTCAAAAATAAACAATCAGAAAATAGGCGGAGATGCCGACTGTACCACGTGACGCTGTCGTTTTTTAGCTGTAGTCAAAAATGGCGCCTGGCGACAGCGCAGACATGTTTCTTTAGAATAAAGGCTTTTAACGCTTCTACTTGTTGTTACATGTCTAAGTCATTTAGAACCGAGGAAAGAGCTGCAGCGAACTCCACTTCAGATGCCTTCTCTGTTGTTTATGAGAAACTCAGCATTGCAATGTGTGACGTACGCTGATTGGTGCTGATTCCCATTAGGAAGCACTGGGCTGGCTGGCCAGGCTAAGAAACTAAAGGTATATACTAGGGCTGCACGATATTAGGAAAACCTGCGATGTGCGATAACGGTGATTAATATTGCGATGATGATATTACTTGCGATAAAAATAAACTTAATTTAGGAACAAAAATAATCAAAAACAAAAAAAATGAAAAGTGACAATAATATCATAAAAATGAGAAAAGCAAAAGATGTGAGGAAAGGGGAAAATAAAATGAACAAGAAAAGGCAATCAGTGGATCCCGGGAAAAGCAGAATCAGCAGAAATAGCAGAACAAAGCTAACTCAGGTGTTTGCTAACCATCTCGGGGCGGGCATCTAACCTATGAGAACCCACCCAATTGGCCAAATGGGTGAAGAGCTGTATTTGATATGTTAAAAAAACGTCATGCTTCCATTTGATTGACAGAATGCTTTATGTGTAGCAAACATTTGAGCCGACCATTCATTGCGATATTTATCTGTTCTTTGCGATATGTATATTGCGCATGCTGATATCGCGATAACGATATATTTGTGATGTATAGTGCAGCCCTAGCATATACCATTAACAACATCTGTGGTCCGCAATATTTCTGGCTATAAGTGCCTCACTGGCTCCGTTCTACCGTTTTTTTTGGGGGGGGGGGGGGGGGGGTTACAGAACGCTGTAATTAAATGTTCACTTTTTTTGAAACATTTGCTTTTTGTTTTCGTCAGGTTTGTATGTTTCAGTGTGTCCATGTTAACCACTGATAGTACTTTTTCTGCAAAATAACTGTTGAACTACATGTAAAAGACTATTTTGTGCCATTTTTAAATGCACCAACATGAAAAGTCTTTGCCACAACCGAAAACCGAAGATGAGGAAACCAAGGCCAAAAGGAGACTCCCAACGGAGCAGAGGCGAGCTGCGCTCACAGAGGACGAATATTATATATTAGAGAGGAGAAACTTACAAGCAGGCCGCTAGGCTTATAAAGCACCAGGGAAACCCCTGTAAGATAGGCTTGCATGGCCTAACTTGGGACTTGATTCAAGACTTGCATGGTTTGACTCGGGACTTGATACATGGTTTGACTTGGGGCTTGATTCAAGGCTTGCATGAGTTGACTGGTCTTGAGACTTGCAAGGATTGATTTACAACCTGACTAAAGACCTGCATGACTTGGCATGGGACTTTCCCCTTCACACATTTCCTAAACTAGAACATTCTGTTGTCTTGGAACACTGAAAAAATGTGTCTCCACATATTTTCTTTTTGTCACTTGGTTAACACTTTGCATACATTCACTTTGAAAACTTGTTTTGTCGAGCAACGCTGAAAACATCCACCTCAGTCACACTTGTCTGTAATTGCTTGCAGGTTAGACTCCTCAATAGACATCATGTCAAGCAGCCTAATTAGACGCATTCGAAACACTCCTCAGCCTTCAACACCGGCACTAGGTGAGACCCGGTCTAGAAACACACAAATTCATCTTAAAATGTCAGTTTTTCACAGAAAATAACCATTTGTTATATTTTTCAGTATGTTCAAAGTTGGGTGTTATCATCCTACCCATTGCTCAGATCGCTATAGGTAAGTAGTACAATCATCAATAAATCATAACGATTTTACATTGAAGTTGGTCCGAAGTTTGTTACGTTCCTCTTCTGTCCACCAGGGGCAGTATACATGCATGAGTGCCCACGTCAGCCCTACATCCCCATCTATCTGATAGTAGCAGGGTCCTTCAGCATGCTTCTTACAATTCTTTCGTGTTTGCCCTGTGCCCGGGAGACCGAAGGGGGCCCGCCCAATAAGCTGTCCGCTATCTGCACATTTTGGAACGCGATAACATCTCTTTTCCTCTTTGCCTGGTTCATCACAGGTGAGTTGCTCTTATCGGAAGCAAGCCTAGAGTAAATCCTACCAAAGTCAAGGGAAAAGGCCAGCTATTGGTTGTCTAGCAATCCGTTATTTTCAATAGTGTCAACACAGTTGACTTAACAGGCATGCGCCTGCTCTAAATTTACACTGCCAAAATGTAATATTTACTCATCCCTGAGCTGCTGATGCACAACAGTCAGGCTTCCTAATATGTCTAAGGTTTAGAAAATATATTTTAAAAACACTGGTTTTAAAATAAAAATGTTAAGACCATAGCATCAAAAGTTTTACCTGATCCTCGAGGACGCAATATTATAGTGACAGGTAAACTTTATAACTCGGTCATACTAGCAAATATTTATGCCCCTAACATTGATGATGTAGGCTTTATTAAATCATTTATATCTTCTTTACCTAATATGGACTCTCATAAGTTGATAATTGGCGGAGATTTTAATTTTGTCTTGGATCCTGGGCTGGACAGGTCATCACAAATATTAGTATCCAAATCAAAATCTGCAAAAACCATCCAGGAATTTAAGGGAAAATATAAACTGATAGATCCCTTCAGGGCTCTCTCTCCAAATGATAAGCAATTTTCATATTTCTCCTCAGTTCATCATACCTATTCTATAATGGATTTTTTAATAGATTATAGCTTTATCACACAGACTCAAAGTAGTGATTATAAAGCAATAGTTTTATCTGACCATAGTCCAGTATTGTTACAGTTAGCAATAGGAAACAGACCTGCTATACCTAAATGGCAATTTAATAATGGCCTACTGTGGGATAATATCCTAGTAACTGAAATAAAAGATCAAATCAAACTATTTATTTCAATAAATGATTCACCTGAAATTACGAGATCCACATTATGCGACATATTAAAAGCATACTTGAGAGGCCAAATCATCTCATTAAGTAGCCATAAAACAAGCAAAGAAAAGAAAAAGAATCAAATATAACAACAGAACTATTAGAAATAGATAAGGAACATGCAGTCTCTCCTTCATCTAAACTCTATTAAAAAGTCTCATTGGAGACAGAACTTAAATTACTCTACATAAATGGCACAACAAGATTACTGATACAACTTTCAACATAGATATTATGAGCATGGGGAGAAAACAGGTAGTTTATTGGCAAGGCAAATTAATGAAGTTGCTGTATTAAGATTGATTACAGAAATTAAAACTGGTACAGGAGGTCAATCAACCACTGATCCAAAAGAAATTAATGATGTATTCAGAGAATATTGTACTGCACTTTACTCTTTGGACTCAAAAAAGGACCCAGTCATTATTGAAAGTTGTTTCGATTCTATTCAAGTTCCATTGATTAGTGTAGAACACAAAATATTGCAAGAACAACCAATAACATTAAGGAAGATAAATCTGGCTATTCAACACTTGCAGTGCTTAAAAAGCCCTGGCCCAGACGGGTATTGTGTAGAATTCTATAAGACCTTCAAGGAACAGATATCGCCTCTGCTCTTGGATGTATATAACGAAGCTGTAACCAAGGGACGCTTACCTTCAACTAGGTATGAAGCCACTATCTCCTTAATCCATAAACTTGGTTGGGATCCTTTGGAGCCCTTTGACAGGGTTGAGTGGGACTTTCTCTTCTTGACCCTGTTAAAGTTCGGTATAGGCCAAAAATACATTTCCATTGTTAAACTGCTTTATAAAATGCCTCAGGCCTCAGTTCAGACAAATAACGCCGGGGACACACCGAGCGCCGCAAAGCGCCGTGAAAAGGGGGCCGCCTTCATTTGGCGCCAGTTATCCTATTCTATAGACCACATGGGCCGCTGAAACGCAGCACGCCGGCGCTCCAGCCCGCGCCGGCGCTCCAGCCCGCGCCGTGCAGCGATCGTTTCGGTGTCTGCTCTATTTTTTTCGCGAGCCGCGGGTGAACCGCGTCAATTCTGGCAGGAAGTCAAACCTAGGCATTACAGGCAGGCCGGTAAATTTAACAAAATAAAGCATTTCAAAATACAATTCCGCGATAGTCAAATGTGTTCGTAAACAGACACTGCATAAAAACCACACAAACACACACACAGCAAACTTGTGTGTGTGTGTGTGTGTGTGTGTGTGTGTGTGTGTGTGTGTGTGTGTGTGTGTGTGTGTGTGTGTGTGTGTGTGTGTGTGTGTGTGTGTGTGTGTGTGTGACCACGTGAAGGGGGTGTGGTTTTGGGTGTCTTTCAACCGGAGCAAACAGGACAGAGAGGCAGAAAGTCATAGGCCAGCTATTAACAACTGGTTCACACCATAGGTTCATACACACACACGTACAAACCAGGCCCCCACAATGCGGCTTTAAAATTGAGGCCAACCCGGAAGTGACAAAAATTGCAGTTCCACCCTCATCCGCTGGGGGCTGGTGTCAGAAGCGAGCAAATCCTCATTGACTCCCACGTTAAAAATGCCATTTTCACAGCAGAAATAAACATGTTTACAGCCTGGTACCAAAACATGTTTTTGGTTTAAATGATCTAGTTTACACTCATGACAACTCTGAGGGGGGTGAATTTTTTTCTCACTCTTCTGTTTAAGTGTATTAAAAGCCTAAAATTCTGAATAATTAATGAGCATCAGACCCACGTGACCGCAGAGCTAGCTCCGTGGAAAGCCCTCAGTAGAGCCTCGGTCTGGCTTGGAAACTTTTCCGGGGTTTTGAGTCTCTGTGTCTGTGTATTCTTTTTTGGATATTTTTTGTGCAATTGTTGGACAAAATGACTTGCCGTGGCATTAATTGCACTAATAGAGCGTCCAAGGAGTCTCCACTCCATTTTATTCGGTAAGTAAAATTATATTTATGTATTTTAGGTCACTGCCGAGCTGAGTTTAGATTTTAACATGTACTGTTTAACCATGAAATTTAAATGTAATAGGGTAAAACCCAGTGCATTTAACATAATGCTGCACTTTAGAAAATGGGTTGAAATATAACATGTTGGTGGAGCTGGGTTCCCACTATCGGTTTGTGGAGCTCTCGGGAGACCGATGTTTTCCACCCGGAATGCCGGCTGTTTCTCCCCGCAGACCGGTCCATCTCTGTCTGATCGCGGCTTCTGTGTGCTGCGGCGGGTTGACGGCTGGTTCTCCCAGCAGCTCAACGCATCTGTCTGATCGCGGCTTCTGTGTGCTGTGCGGCTGCCGGCTTGTGGAGGTCTCCGAGACCTGGTCTCGGAGACCTCTGTGTTCCACCCGGTTTTACCCAGCGGTCAGCCCGGCGTATCTCTGACTCAGAATCTCTGGTGTTGTGCACAGTTAACTCCGGTTGTAGCTAGGTTGCTACCTCCGTTAGCTTAGCTCCCACCTCCGCATTAGCTTTGGGTTAGCTTGTAGCTAGTTCGACCGGGTGTCGTCAGTTGATCCCAGCCTTACAGCCCCACCCTCAGCTCCTCCTCTCTTCCCTTTTATGGAATTGTCTGGGCTTGACGGAACCTGTTATACGGTCAAAATGGCTGTGGTGGCCACCTCCCATTTTAGCAGAAAAACTTGTTATTGGAGCCTGTGGAAGCCCATTGTCCACATATTAATGTCGATGGTACAAACACACACAAACAGCAAGGGGGAGGGGGGTGTAGAGGAAAAGAGCAGAGAAAAGGCAGAGAGGAAATGGAGGACACCAAGTGGTTAAAAGAAAAACTATGAGGTGCGCCTTGACCGGAGCAGAGAAACAAGCATCTGGTCTGAACTGAGGAGCAGCAAGCTGCAGCCGAATTTCGTGAACGCTTCGCCTCCCGACGCTTTGCGGCGCTTCGGCAGCCGGTGTGTCCCCGGCCTAATATAAACTCTAGTCCTTTCTCCCTCCATCGCTCTACAAGACAAGGGTGCCCCCTGTCCCCATTATTATTTGCACTTGTCATAGAACCTCTCGCCATTCAATTACGCTCTGCAAAAGGTTATGAAGGAATAAGGTTTAGAACATAAGGTATCTCTTTATGCAGATGATAAGCCACTATCTCCTTAATCCATAAACTCAGTAGGGATCCTTTGGAGCCCTTTGACAGGGTTGAGTGGGACTTTCTCTTCTTGACCCTGTTAAAGTTCGGTATAGGCCAAAAATGCATTTCCCTTGTTAAACTGTGTTATACAATGCCTCAGGCCTCAGTTCAGACAAATAATATGAACTCTAGTCCTTTCTCCCTCATTCGCTCTACAAGACCAGGGTGCCCCCATCCCCATTATTATTTGCACTTGTCATAGAACCTCTCACCATTCAATTATGCTCTGCAATAGGTTTTGAAGGAATAACAAGATTTGGCGTAGAACATAAGGTATCTCTTTATGCAGATTTGTTGCTATGTATCACTGACCCCATTAAATCATTGCCAAAAATCATGACAATTTTAACCATATTCAGAAACATCTCTGGATATAAAGTCAACCTGACAAAAAGTATATTGTTCCCAATTAGTTCTTCAGAAAAGTTAGAGCCACATTGACTCTGTTCCCCTTTACCATCTCAAACACTTTCAAGTACCTTGGAATAAATGTGACTCATGATTTTGCTGCTTTCTTCAAGCATAATTTAATTAATTTATACCATAAAACGGAACAGAAATTTAAGAAAATGTCTAAATTACCCATCTTGCTTGCTGGCCGAATAAATATAATTAAGATGACCACTTTACCCAAAATTTTATTTCTGTTCCATTGTATCCCAGTATTGATCACAAAAACATTTTTTAAGAATTGAAATCAGTTCATTTCTCAATTTATCTGGAACAAGAAGATACCCAGAATAAAACAGACATATCTTCAAAGACCCGAGGTTACAGGAGGAATGGGGTTGCCCTGCTTTCAGCTCTATTACTGGGCCTGCAACATACGCTGTATGTCACACTTAAGAAAAACTAGATTTCCGGGCATGTAAACCCCTGTGAGGTCCCGCAGATCTTCTCAGTTCCCAGCAATTAAACACAGTTCACAGTCTGTGGTGTTCCCGTTATTCTTGCCAGGAACTCCAGAAAACGAACCAGTT